GGGGAAAACCCTGCAGCTTGCGTGTGTTTTTAACCCTTTATTCCAGAATTGTCACAACTAACTGAGTTAACTGATGTTTGTAGACGTGCTTAGTACAGTGCTTAGATTTATCACTTATCCATAGATGTAATTCTTATGACTCGCTCTAAAAATGTTAGAAAGGGAGAATATTTATGGAATATTCTCAGGAAAAAATTTTTTAGGAAATTTAATCTGTCCAGATATATACAGAGCTAAGGCTTTTACTTTGGGGGTAGCTGTAAAGGTTAGATATCAAATATAATTTTTAAGTGTAGTCAGAGTTATTCATATTTTGTTTTAAGCCTTTTGGGTTTGTTGTATTTCAGAGAAAGAAAGGCCTTCCCAGTTCTAAGCTTGTTAAACATCCTTTAGTGGTTTCTTTTTTACTTTCATGGACTCACTGTCTTTACATTAAATGTTTGAACTTTGGGGGATTTCTGCTTGTTTAAAGTTTGAGATTTGTATCCACCTTAAGTTTTTCCAGTTGGATACCCAGTTATTGCAAACCTTTTGTTGTATAAGAGAGATTAGTCTTTCACTTCAAAGGAAATTACGATATGTCAGTTTATTGTGTACAGTTCAAAGAGTAAGAGATGAGGGGTTTCACTTACAGGACACAATGGATTTTGAGCTGTCTGACCCAAAAGATAACAGCGAGGTGCTTCCTCAGCAACTTCTTGAAGCTGAAAGTCAATTCCGTGGCCAAGAAATTGAGCTCCATCCCAGGAGAGATGCTCTTAGACCAACGACATTGGTAGTAGAATGTGTGCGTAGAGACCGAGGCCAAGCCCAGCGTTCAAACAAGGAAACTGAACCCTTGTCTCAGAGCAAACAAGAGGAAGTCAACAAATACATTGGAAACCAGGCATTCTTGGAGGAGAGAGTATTCGAACTACAAACTGAAAACATGTTGCTCCTACAGCAACTGGATGTTGCTCAAAATGAGGCCAAAAGTAAAAAGACAATACTTAATATCCCAGAGCCGTTTCAGGATCACGTGGGAAAACTTGAGGCCATGAGCAGACGAGTTCTGATGCTGGAGGAAGGAAACAAGGAGTTAATCGATGAATGCCTACATGTAAAAGACAGACTGTATCAGTATGAAACTGACAGAGCAGAAATGGAAGTAAGTACCCAGAAAGGGAACTAACTTTCAGACTTCCTCAAAGAAAGTTCAAAGTAGTATCTGATGAAAGCTAAAGGTTGAAACTAGTGGAACATGAAAAATGTGTGGGCTGTAAATATATACACTGTAAAGCAGCCTAAAAGCATATCTTGTTTCCAGCAAACAAAAGTTGGACCTGAGAGGTGCTTCACTTTGAGTAAAGATGCCGTGTCACCTGCAATTTTAAGAGATTAAGCTATAAGTTGTTGACAGATACAGGCAGGTCTTATAGTGCCCAAATCATTTTAATCTTTCTGTCACCACATTTTAGTATCGTGACGAAGCAGATAAATGAAATGCTCAGACCTAAAATGAGTGTTTTGAAATTAAGATTCAGTTGTGTGAACAAAAAAAGTAAAAGAAGAAAAAAAAGATTCAATTGTGTGGATTACCTTGACAGTCCAATCCAGATTTCCCCGATGAACTGATGTGTAAATGCTGTATCTTGTACTTTTCGTTAGTAGCTTTTCATATATTTTTAGTTGATGTAATTCTGTTTTTATTCATGTCAATTGGAATTAAATTTAGAAATATTTCCATCTCAAATCATGTATTGTTATGACCTCTCCACTCCTTAAAGGCATCTACTTTTCATTCAGTCATAATTTGGGACAATTCATAAATTTTAGCAAAACTGTGTTTGACTTAGTCTCCCCTGTTCTATTTATAATTTACTTTGAATATTTTTTCAAATAATGTGCTCACAATTCTCACTTCAAGGCTCAGTTACTGTCACTTGGATCTAAGTTTGTCCAGTACAGAGGAACTGGAGCGCTCTGTGATGTACGAGTTTGGCACTGGGGTCCCATTTTCAGACTGAGGAGGAGCAGGCAGAGTCCTGAGTGGCAGGAAGGGAGTGAGTGGGGGGGTGGGGGGAGCTGTAGGAGCTGCAGTCCAGGGGGCAGGGGAGGCCAGGTTGTCTCGGGTCCCCAAAGGCTATTGGAATAATCTCGTTTCTACTGTGAGATGGGAGTCTATTGGAAGGATTTAAACACCAGATTGAATATGTGAAGAACTCTGAACTTAAGCCTCTAAGGAGAAAGAGGGAGAATGTTCCACAGTGTGGAACTTACCGCCACCCATCCCACCTACACACCCATTTCTGTTTTGAGACTTCAGTGGGGGTAAAGCTTGGCCATTTCCTGGGAGGGGCAGGGTATGGCTGGTGGAGCAGCATCCATTGTCTTAGTTAACTTACTCTCAGTAAGGCAGGAGGGTCACGCCTTCTGTGTCTTTAACGAAATTCAGTAAACAGGAATGTGTACCTATGAGGAAAAGAAGGTGAACTGATGTCTGTGGGGATAGTTCTCAAAGTCCATGTGTTGGAGTTATATGTTATTAATGTGACTTAATGATAAGGTGACTTAAAAATCAGTAACAGAGTTATCTTTTTAGGCCTGTATGAGACAGCTTCAGCAAGAGCTGACTGACACCCGAAAGAAAGTGTCCATGTTGGAAGCTTCCCTGGAGGTGACAGCACATCATCAGCCTAATTCAGAAAATGAGAAACAGGATTCAGAGAGGAAATCACATCAAACTGCGAACCCAGTACGTGTGAAATCTAGCACGTCAGCCGTGAATGTGCAGCGCAGAGTGTTGCAGGACACTAGCTTTTCAGGGACAGCTTTCTTTTGTATCTTCATTATAATTACACTTTTATTATCTTTATGATGTACTTGTTTCTTAAACTTTGACTTTCATTCTGCCATTTATTTATTTTTCTCTTATAATATTTACCCTTAGATAAGTTGAGAATTACACATCTTTCCTCACAGAAGTTAGCTTTTTTTTCCTATTAAACAACATTTTTTAGTGATCTCTCACCACAATGAGGCAAGCTAGATAAAATCAGAGGATAATGTTTTATGGCATGGTCCAGAAAATTGTCATGTCTCTTTACTTTTGTGAATGGATGTAGAATGTGTGTGTATTGATTTCATGGATTTCAGGGTAACTTGTGCAGAAAGGTCATTATACAAACCAGTTGAAGTTAGGCATTGCCTTCATTTTCTCTTCATTTTATGTATGTTGTCAAAGCATGGAGAAGTTCAGATCACGTCTGTACACCCAAAATAGAGAATTAGG